AAGTGTTTGGCTTAGAAATCTCAACCGAGCCTGGTGCAAATTGTTTGCAGTTTGACAAAAGCCTCTCCCGGGTACTCCCTGCATTTGCTACTTGCCCATGTTCCCAGGTTACCAGCCTCCCCTTCTTTCTACATGCCAGTCACAAGGCTGGTTTGGAACTTGTTTGGTGTTGAATCAACCTGGCAAGCGATCAGCAATACCACTTCTTTTTGTTTATTGCGGTTGTTGATGGTTGTTGAAGATTACGTTTATGACTCATAGGTCCACATTGCCCGCTCAGTTCAAGCCTTGGCTGGCCAATGGTGGGCCTTAACCTAAGCAATGTTAATCTTGCGTGTGCATGTCACTTGCATCACTTTGCTGGTTCGGAGCCGGCAAGACGAGTTGAACCATGATCAAACCCGGATTGTGTGCAATTTTTCTGAGGCACAGTCCATAGTTACACGTTGGGTGTCGTGATCTGTGTTTGAGGACCCAACCTTTCCAACCTGCCTGCTCCTCGTTGTGTTCGAGAGTGTGTTCCCTGATGCAGGGAAAGTCAGTCCAACAGAAGGGATGATCTCCATTTACAGTTGCCTGTAAGATCCTGGAAACGATTTAAATTTACCCCAAACCAATTTCATTCGCACATTGGCATTCTGCTATCATTATCATTTATCACAGTCCGTTTGGAAAAAAGAAAAAAATCAGAGGGTCCGGCGCCGGACAAACCAAGTATTGTCTTATTGTATCTTATTGTGGGTGACTCTGACGGGCTTCTAGTCTATTCTCAATGTGCACTGAGGCCCTTCAGGCGATTCGACATGGGGTGGGTTTCGGCTTGTTTGCAGACGGCAAACCAGCAAACTTTGGAATTTTCTCTCAACGACATGCATGTGCGGCTCAAAGCTCCCGGACTGGGCTTCAGTAGCAACATTGGGGGCAAATGCAAATCGACGTGACACAAAAGCAGCTTTGATATTGCCAATGTACCAATGATACGATGGAGGGGTTTTTCGTTCAATTTTTTGAAGTGCACTTCAAAGATCGGATCTCGTGAAACTGCAGTGAAATGAAAGAATCCGTGCCGCTGCCGGGACCTTGGCCGCCTCACAATTGAAATCTGAAGGCCTTCAGCCTAAGCTGAAAATTTCCTCAAAAATTCTGAGGCTTAGAGATCCCCTACAGCGAACCGCAGAAGAGCGCTGCCCCAGGCCTCTCCATATTTCATTGTTCAACAGACTTCACCCATTTTCACCCTTCATTGCTTTAGAGACTCTAGGGTCATATGAGTCACTTTGTTTGATTTTGTGGCTGCACAAAACGACCCCAGCTAGCAGACTGAGTTTGACAGGTCTTTAGCTGGGTTCGGCGACTCGCCGGCACAGCCGGCTTCTCAGCCAAACAAATACAGTGACATCCATGAGCTCAAGAGAACTTGTAAAGACCGCTCCGCGACTCCGCGCGCTTGATTTTGCTTGGTAGCTCGAGGACTGATGGCTATGGAACAGGCACAAAGTCAAGATGTTTAGAAAGTATATAAGCTGAACTATGTGGACAATTGATGGACAGGTGTGAATCGTGTCTCTTTTGGAAGGATCCAGGCCTTCACCAAAGGAACCTTCCAGCTATTGTGAACCTTCCTGGTGGGTCATGTGCACACTGCGCGGGGGCCGAGTAGCAGAAATCCTGGAATCATGGCATCACAACAAATTTTAGCTATTAGTAACAAGTGCCTCGCTAGTAGTAACAAGTGCCTTACTACTAGTAACAAAAAGCTATTATACTTAAAGTAAAATCAAAATAAATTAACTAATAGCTTCTTGTTACTACTAGTAAGGCACTTGTTACTAGAAGCGAGGCACTTGTTCCTAATAGCTTATTGTTTCTAATAACTGCAAATTTGCTGTGTGAGGACAAGTTTCATCACATGAATCACATGTAACGAATCTTGCAGCCACGCAATGAAGGAAAGTGAATCTGAGGAGCTTGCAAAGGATTCCCGGTATTGTTGAAACTAGTTCTGGAAAGGTACGCAGTGTCGTGAGTCATTCACACATGCCAGTGTTGTGCAAGGGCCATTGCTGTAGCGCTGCTCCTACTTTGGCTTGCGCTGCGCCAAGGCGAATAGTCTAGTAACATGTCAGTGTGTATCTCCGTGACCCTTTTTGCTGGTTGCTTCGGCACTGTATCCGTTGAAAGATTCTTCAGACGCTTTTCAGTTGCCTTGTTGCAGGTCGAGCTCCCATCAAGGAGGCAAATAAGTGGAGAGTGGAGAGAGCTTGGTTCCAGACTGTAGAGCTGAGTGGCTGTAGGTTCCCTTCTGGCCTGTTCAGGTTAACATGCACCTCTCGCTCCTGAGCCAAGCCTTCCTGCACAGAGTGACCCGCCTGGAGGGGCAGCTATCTATAACTATTTGATAAGATTTGCAATTGTATCTATGACTACGATGTACAGATATGTACAGTAATGTATAATTGAAGCAAACAGGAATGTGGCCATCGACAGGACTTGTTATGTAATTACATTCCATTTAAGATACTTTTGAGGGCAAAAAGGCTGTATGGTTCGCTGCACGACCTGCCCCTGTCAGCCAAAGCCGTACACTTTAGGAACGGATAATGATGCATGCCACGTTTTCCATTTTGCGGGAAGAGACACTCTTTCCACCTGAGGGGGGGGAAGCAAATCCAACTGCTTACTGTAGTTTTTTGTAGACACCATAGCTTGATGATAGTTTGCCCAGATGTGCAACTTAGGTGTCTTAAGCTTTGCGAGGAGTACACGGCTTCTTGAAGAGAGTGGTGCTGGCTTCAGTTTGTAGATCAATCTCAACTGTGAACTGGCTTTTGCAGGGGCCGGGTAGGTACAGTAGGCCAGAAGACTGCCCATGACTGGGAATTGTGCAAGGTGCCTTACAAGACCAGAGAAGAGGTCCCAATTCGATCATCTGCAAAAGACAGCTGCCATACAGGGCAGGCAATGTGTTGAAGGAAGGCACTGGGGCACCTGGTGGCGTGGCAATGGGTTCCTCTTGGTTTGTTAGCAAACTTGGCATCCTGTTGAGTTCATTGCAGTGGATTGGAAAGAAACGGGGGGAGTTCATTCTTCAATACTGCGGAAGCCAGGATGTCACCCGAACCGTTGAGAAGTGCCAGAGCTGGCATTTAGCCTTCGATGTACAGATTAATTTTGAGATGCCGCCAGCACCGCTAGATCTAGCTTGAGAACGCACTGAAGGACAGCATCCTTGAATGTGATGGCAACTCACCTGTTTGTGAGATGTGCAGCTTCGGAAATCATGAGTAGGGGAGCGCAAAGGAGCGACAAACCATGATTCCTTTTTGCTAGTTGTTTGCTCACAGATAACTTTGGGTGGATTGATTGACAATTGACAAAGGGATTGTCGGAGCATACATGGCTGCACAGCGCCCAAAGAAAGCATTGCGTACATTTGCGTACTTTATTTGGGCAGTCAGTGGGGATATGCTTTGAACCAGTTGCCCGAATACTCAGAAAAGTATGGGTTTGGGTATCCACAAAATGAGCTGCACCACTGCGTTCTCCGATGATTTGCAACAGATCTCCTGAGTGCTTCCACTTGAACTTGCGCTAGGCAGCTGTACAGTGGAGTCAGGTGCCGAATCCATTTGAGACAGTCAAGATCACAAGATCATGTGCCAAGCAAATCAGGGCCCTGCGGCCAGAAGCAGCTGACTCCGCCCAAGCTGAGATCATTCAACACGTGATACGCGTGAAGACATGATTGCGAAATGAACTGAGCCACACAGCAGCTAGCTACTTTACTAATGCACCGATAACGACAAAGCTGGGAAGTTCAAGACCACCATTTCTTACTGTACCCTGGCACTGCTTGAGTCACGGTGGACAGATGCCTAGATCACCGTGCCATGGAATTCCAATACAACTCTCCGTTCTGACTGTACTGCTTTTTGCCATGGGAATCTAGTGTTGCATGGCCAGGTGACATGCTTCCAGTCAGGCCTTCCTGGCTGGACATGCTGTTGCAACACGATGGAGTTTCCAAGAAGTACGCATAATGTGGACAGTTTGCCATGGCATTTGAAAGGACAAGCATGACAGATGGTGGGCTGCTTGGAAAGGGACACCAACAGAAGAGGGAGGGCCAAGAATGTGCAGCTGGACAGACGGAGGAGTGAAGGACAGGAACAGGAAAAGGAACAGAAGGGAACCGCAGGAATGTGGAAAGGAAGGCTGGGGAAGGCTTGAGAAAAAGATGTCACAGGGTAGAGAGGACAGAGGTGGGAGGGAGAGCAAGGTAAAGACAAGGCAAGAAGAAGCCAAGTGTCCACCTGCTTTGTTGCGTTGTGTTTTGCAACCATGAGCCAACTTAGCCAACAAATAACTTTAGTAGCAGCTACTCAGATTGTTTGTTTTCTTTACCGAATGAACAAACAAACTCTTTGATCACGAAACAGATATAGAACCCAGTACAGAGACCTTGGTCGCTGGCAGGTCAATGCCGCATGTCCAGCGCTGTGAAACCTTGACAGGTTGGTAGAGTGCATCCAGCTTGCACGAAGCAATAGGACGACAAGAAGAACTGCACGAGGCTTTAAGAACTGCGGGTTCACATGAATGCCAATACATCCAGCCATCAAATCGTTGTACAACCTCTGCACCAGCGCAGCACCCTGTCCTATTTGGCATCGGAGCTCCTCATGGATGTATTCTATTTAAACATGAGGTGCAAGAAACAGCTGTTGAGACAGGCTTGCAGCGCTGACTCAAGGCCTTGCATGTAGTGTTGCGGAAAGATTTTTGGACAAATATGTCCAGAGATACACGGAGCGCATCGATTTGAAATTGAGCCTACGACTTTTGTGCGGAAAGCCAATAACATTGTCATGCATGTGTTGTGCTAACACTGCAGATTCACAACCTTGCGTGGCATGCTGAAGCTGATTGCAGACGAACAAAATGTGTCAGAGCCTTTGTGGATTAGGCAACCACCTGCTCCAAGAGTCCCATTCAAGTTATTTGGGTTTGACGTTACCATGTGTGCGCCTCGTTGCAATGGTTTTGTGGCTCTTAATGTTCATAAGTGGAGTCCTTCTGGGACTTGGCAGGAAGCTCAGTGCAAGGTATGACAGGTGGTCATCGGCACTAGATTCCTAAATCACTGGCTCAAATGTTTATGACATGATAGTTCAACATACTTACATAGTTCATGTTTGCTAGCATCCTATTCCTTATTCAGTCTTCCTGGTTTGAGCACATCATCCATCACCATCATGTGTGGATGAACCTTCGGACAGCCAGACAAACAATTGGGCCAGTCTCTTTAGAAGATTGCAGAAAGACAAGGGGCAACCCGGACAACCCTTTTAGAAGGAAGCTCGATGAATCAAGTTCAACTTCAAGGTCCTGCTTGCTTCCTATGTCCGTTCGTCTTGGGTAGCTTTTCCCTAGGGAATAGTGGCAGGCGGCAGGTGGCTTCATGAAGTCCATTTGTTCATTGGCCGCCACCCCTCCAATGATTGACAGTGGGTCTGAATGTGGCTCAGAGTTTCTGTGTTCACAGTCTTCACAACTCTTCTCTCATCTCATCCATCAGTCTATCTGTTTAGTGCCCACTTGCCATGAATCCACCCTACTCGCCCTACACGGTCACCCTCAAGAATCTTCCAGGAACAGGCTTGTTGACAGAACCTCTAGTGGCCTTGATGGCCAGTGGTCGCAAGTCTTGAGATCAAGCTCGAGGCGCTGACAGCGTGTTATCCAAGGTGTGTCACATGTTTGGAAATGGCGTCCTTCGAGCAGATCACCATCCAGTGCACAGGTCGCGAGTGTCATTGTCTTGTTTTGCTTCCATGGCTTCCATCACGTCCAATCAGAGTTCCGACTGAATTTTACATGTTTTAAGTCTAATTCTAATAGCTTCTTGTTACTACTAGTAAGGCACTTGTTACTACTAGCGTGGCACTTGTAATTACTAGCAAAGGAATCTACAATGGTACTGCCAGCAACCAGATTATTTTCAGAGATTCTCACAGCACACAGCCTTGGACAGGCTCGCAGAAGGCGCCAATATGTTCCTCGTGGTTCTGGAGGAGAACAAATCAGAGGCGCTGAGCAAGTTCATGCAAAGTATGTGCTAAGGCCATGGGCACACCAAGCTAAAATGATGGATTCCAACAATTCCAATACTTCACTAAGGAGCTCCTTTAGACTCTGTCATGCCCCGCTTACACTGCGTGTTCATTGATGAAAGCACAGTCAATGCATCGCATGAAAGCCTGGCCTTACAAGGCAGCTCGGCGGATGCACAACGGACAGTTCTTTGTGAGGAGCGTGGACTAGCCTGACAATCTTGGGAAGTCGTCAAGCCATGCACATGCCTACTTTTGCTTGTTCCTTTAGAAACCAAGATCTGAGATATTTGTAGTTCAACCCAGGATGCAATAGCTTGGCTACAAAGCATTTCTGCACTACCAACAGGCAGCTGCGTTTTGACAGGCGCTAGACCGCTTGACATACTTGGTAGTTTTGCAGTTCGGGCAAGACTATGCCTCACCCTTAGGTTTTGTCATACGCTTTTTGGAATTTTAAAGATCTTCAGAACAACTTTTTGAGATTTGAGAAGAGGAATGCTTTATCACGTGGAGGCGTGCCAGACATTCATGAGTTGGATAACATTACCTTGGCTGGTTTTCGCCTCAGCATGAGCACTAGCAGGCAGCACATCGCACATGCGCTCACCACAGTGTTTCCATACAACTACAGAGATTCTGCTATCTGTGTCAAATTCTTGTTGACATCGATGAGAATCTCACTAGTATGGAGAACTTGCCAAGCGGACAGTGAAAGGTCTCTGAAGCTGAGTCGTGCACCATGTTCTTCGAATTTCAATCCAAAACCACCCCGACCAGGTTATGTCGAGTGGTTCCAGATGACTGTGAAGCTTATTCTGGAGAAATTGCCTGCCCAAAGCCGAGCCATTTTCATGCAGACAGACGTGAAGGCTTGTCATAGTGATTGTTTTGCTGCAAAGTTTTGTCCAGCAGCGCTGTGCTTCTACTTGACAAGAAGCAAGACTTTGGCAAGTGGAGGTATCATGAGGTATCTCATTCAGTTTCCCTAGACGTAAGTATACACGTGTGCCAATGCCTCGTCGCTCCTGCCAGGTGACCAAAGACGGCAACCATGGGCGGAATGCCAAGGGCGGCACTTATTGGCAATGGTTGAACAAGGCCCATCTTGCCATTCTTGCTGCCTCAGACATGTTCGGGCCCTATATACCTACATACTGAAAGGGGGCACTTCATTTCCCGCCTGTCGGTCGGTGTCATTTTGCGTGCTTTTCTTTCAAGTAGATGAGGCCTGGGGTGCGCTTGCTGTGGCACCGCATCATTTTCTCTGGAAAAATCGTCGGCGGTGGTCGAAGCGGCTTCAGCGTTCCTCCGTTCCAGATAGAATGGGTACGCGTTGCGGTTGCGGAGGTTGTCCGGTTGAGGTGTTCAAGATGTCGAAAGGTTGGTTTGCTCTTGCATAGAGCCAAATTGATGTGCGCAAATTCAGGCTATTGTCTTAATTCGGACAAGATTGGGTCACTTCGGGATGAATTATTTATCATAGCAGCCTACGTTGCTGTTGCTTCAGGCTGGATATACCCACTACCTTTGCTTCACCAATGACGACACTTGATTTGCATTGTCCTAGCCAGTGCGGGTGATGGATACAAGTCAGTGCTGGCACTCACTTTGAAGTCTACATGAGGCGACTTTCCATCATTGGATCCTTCCTGTGTGGACTTCTGATTTGATCGAAGTGGGTTCATTGAGTTTATCCCCCCCTGCTGCTCCAAGGAGGCTGATGAATCCTTGGATCGTGGGTTTCCAGATGTGATTCGTGCCGGCCCCGGACCTTTTGCTTTGCAGTGCTGGCTACGTAGCGAAGAATGCTTGTTCCAGAAACGGCATCCATGTTCTAGGCTAGCCTAGTGGAAAGGGATGATAGCAAAAGCTTTGAGGTCATGTCATGTCTTAACGGTTTAACGTGCTGGACATGTTGCGGTTTGCCAAAAAGATGAGTGTGTTTGGCAGGCAAAGGTCTTTCTACTTGGACTAGCGGCGCTGGCGTGAATTCCGTAGAGCTGGCTTGCAATTATTTGAGACCTAGCTGTCTTGTCAGTGTGTTGATGTTTGTTGGTTGCTTCATCTTGGATGATTCGCGTAGATGGTGTATGCATCTGTGTGTGTGCGCCGTGCACGTGCTTCCTTTCACTGTTTTCTCAGGAAGTCGTGCGGCTGCCGCATAGTTGTGGATCCGTTCTGTGGCTCGTGAGACTGAAAGTGTTCTTATGGGAGCAAGTTCTTGTTGACTGTGTCGAGTTTTTCAGTTCACTCCAAGAACTAGGTGGTTGGTACGTTGAGAAGTGCACATACAACGTTTTAAGTTAGTCACAGTATATGCTGTTATCGTTGGGAAGGTAGGTTTGGGATAGGCTATACTCAAGGCTTCTATTCATTTGATCTTTATATTTGCTATGGTGATCGCCTGCAAATATTATTGCTGCAATTTTGGCGAACAGGGTGGGGTTGATCACTCAGGATAGATCCCAGGCAAAGATCATGCCGAGTTCTATTTCCTTTAAACTGGGTCTTATGAATGAATTCTGAAAGCACAATCTAATGCCGAAACCCAGCACAAAGAATCTAACCACAAAAATGTCAAGCAAATGCGCATGCAGACACCACAAAAATTTCAACAATTGGTCGGTGGCGTCTAAGGTCGGCTGCTTGAAAAGAATGAAATTGTGACAAGACAGTCAACGAACAGCTTCTCCTGATAGAGGCAGCAAGCTTCCTGAATCAATTTCATGAGATGAAAAAGTCATTCAAACATATGTTATTTTTTTGAAAATAGCAAGAACTTGGGCTTTGGCGTAATCCACTGACACGATGATAGTGCCAAAATCAAACTGCTGATCAGAAAGAATTTTAGAACATGTCCTGCCCCTTCCCTCCCCAAAAAAGGACACGCCTCCATCTTCATTCAAGATCTGAAATCCCAAATGGCAGACCTTTTTGAAAAGAACCAAATAGTTACAACAGCGGCGCGACATCATGTTTCTTTTTCATGTTTTCTGTTTTGTTATTGATGCGATTAATGATTCATGATTGTTTGTTGTTCGATCCTGGATGAAACCAACACCAAAAAACTGAAAAAGGGAGCTTCCTGCCTTGATATGCGCTCGTTCGATGTGTTTGTCATTTTTCAATATTTTTCCTAGTGTTTCATGACTGTTTCATGACTACATGTCTGTCAACGGTTGCGTTTGGAAATCTTGACTTCCAGACCCATTTTAGATTACATTGACGAGAATTGACTTTTTTGAAATGTTTAAAACAAAATGACTTGAAAGACCTTTGGTTTGTGAAAGTCATTTTAGATTTGTTAGTTTTTTACATAAAATGAGGCGTGCCAACCTCTATTCTTGGTAGCAACGGGAATCATTTCGCAAAAAGTCGACCGAGAGTCTATCGACTGATTTGGCAGGTGGGGAAGGCGCAGTGCTTGCTGTGGCCAACGCTTTGCAGCTTCAAGCTCTAGGTGTGGAACACAGCCAAAAGCGAGCACGGCAGGCCCGCTGCTTGGATGGCCGGGAGCTTGGATGTCGTGATCCCGTGAGAAAAAGGGATTTGTTACTTACTGCTTTTGCTTGATTCTGCTATTCTACTCCAGACGGAAAGAGAGGAAGATGCAACTGAAAGACTCCATTTGTGCCTGTATTCTCAAGGTCAAGCCCTGCTTGAGGCTGACCACGCGGAGTTCGCTTAGTTAAAGATCAAAAGGATGCTTGGTAGGGACCGCTTTTTACTTGAACCTCGAAATCCCGTGCAGGGACCCTTTCACGAATAACATTCGTGCCGCAGTGTTTGGCTCCAGATGCAGAGCCTCGCTTATCTTTATAAAAGACATATATATATATATACACAGTATACATATTGGCTTACTTGCATGCGAGAAAGCACTCAAGATTGAAACGTGCTAGCAGCCATCACCAAACACACATCAACTATTGACTAGAATGTATGGCACGTGTCATTGGGGAGAGGCGCGAGCTGCAATAGCAAGCATGTAGCATCATATCGCATCATCAATCATTGCAATCTTGAGTTGGGCCTGCTTTGCTGATGCAACCAGTGCCATGTGTTTTTGTTCCAGCACCTCTAAATATATATATATATACATATCTAAAGACTGTACAGTTTTCCAGGAGCGGTTTAAACATGATTGAATATGACACTGGTGTTCTTTTTTTTTTGTATGTTTATCTGGTTATCAAAAATCCATGAGATCCTGCCTGCCAATGAAGCCAGGGCGTTGAAGCGGTTCGACCGCGAGGTGGCCGCCGTGTTGGATACGTTAGTAGATCGTCAGCGCCTCAATAGCTTAGCCGGAAAGAAGCTCGAAACATGGTGGTAGGTGCCAATTTGCCTCCATTCAAGTCAATAAAAACGAAACGAAGCAACGCGAAGCGCAGGGAAGAGACAGACCATCCAGACCATAACTACTGTGGCATGGAGTGGCTCAGCGGCTGAGTAGCGAGCGATTTAGTAAAAGGGGGGCTGGGCACAGCCACGGTAAATCGCGTGCATCTGACCACGCCATGCTAACCTCAATTGAGAAGGAACAATTTTACTATATTATACTACTATTGCTACTACAGTGTGTACACAGTATATATATATATATGTTTATTGTTATAACTTATAACTCTATTAAGTCTTAAAAGAAACACATACACATTAAGCAGAAATAGAAAGGACTCCCAACTTGTTCACTGCCATGGAGAGCACAGCGCTTGAGCACGCTGATCCACAGCGAGATTTGGAAACCCTGGCAGCCGAGTGCAAGGAGGGGCCACGGCTCTGCTCATCGAGTGTTGGTCACCTGCTCATCAAAGCACTCTATTCAAGCTGCCTTTGACTCGTTTGAAACAGCCCACTTAGTGCACACCGCTTTCGCACAATTTCCACAACTCTATGGGCCCTTATGGGGTTTATTCTCAAGATAAAGAAAACCTGGGCTTCTTAGGACTACTCTGGAGAACTGCTGCGGCGGCTGGCTCTCAAGAGCTCTGGAGGCTTTCTCTCCACCTGGACTAAGGAAGCTCGGAAACCCAAGTGAGTGCGACTGCATTTGCAGGTTCCCAGTGGTCTAACTTGTAACACAACCAGTGCAGTGCTGGATGTCGCTGCACATGATACAGAGGTCTTCAGTGATTTCAGCGAGACCAAGGGTGCCCGGATAAAGTTGATGGCCAGCGCAGTGCACAATAACACCGCTACATATGATACCTTTCAGTGTTCAGGGTCCTACATCAGACTTTCATCCTGATGCCCTGACCTGCCATTTGTTTTGCTGTTCCTTGTAGAACACGCCCAGTACCAGGAATGGTGCTTGCTGACGCACAATTTCCTGGCATTCTTTGCATCTCGAACTGACCTTGCGGTAAAGCAATGCTTACTCCTTGTGGCCATTCAGGACAGGCTCGGTCTGGAGTCTAGAGAGTTGAGTTCAGAGACTGGCGCAAGAAGCCGCAAAGCATGTTGTCATATGTTATCCTTTCACTCCACCTGGCCTTTGTCGCGGAGGACTTGAAGCAGGATGGTAGAACCTTGCGGATTCTCTTGGAGGGAAGGGAGGAGCAGTTTGGCTTCAAAACTGAAAGACATTGGATAACAATGTCAGGATATAGTCAACAATTGTTCCGGGACCCACCATAACACGCGGAATAGTACAAAACAAAGTAGAACTGGATTTATAGTGGTAGAGCCCAATCATTACTGGATTGAGAGAGAATGCCACAACGATGATGCAAGACATTCAATGAATGAAGAGCACATGAGGAAGCGACGCTTGCACAGATATGCGGCAGATGATCATCAGTCAATGAACAAGACGAAAACTGTGCACGTAGACAACGCTTTGGAGGAACAGATAATATAGTTATTCATACTGAGGGAGCAATAGGGCAAAGCCGGAGCATTGAAGCACAGAGAAGGGATAAACAACCAAAGCAACACAAATTCATGTGTTTGTAGAATTGTGTAGCTTTGGCACAATACGACCAACAATTATGAACGGGCAATGATCCGAATTTAGATGCTTCTCAGGAAGTATATACTACCAATCATGGTGACGTCCCGACCAATAAATGCAGCGCAAAAGTCTGCTACTCGATTCTTTCACACCTCAGGAGCACCCATCTCATTGCAGCCCAAGTCCATTTGCATCTCCTCCATTCTCCTCCCTGTCACCCTCGTGACTGACCCACTTCCTCCTTGGTCACTTGGATAAGATCAAACACAACATAAGATAGCTTAGCTATAACATCCAACTCGCTTCACAACCAAGAAAATACAAGCCAACAGATTGAACAGACTTAGTGAGTTTCCTTCAAATGCAACGTGATCAGGATCCACTTGGAGAACGTATGTATATATATACACACACTATATATATATATATATATCGGCGATCGGTCCTTGAAGTTCTTGAAAGAAGAGCTCTCAAACTAAATTTGCCAGCCATCCAGCTTTGCTGGATGAATAGCCCATGAAGATTTGTTGGTGTCTATCAGAACCAGCGTTTCCAGATGTGTTTCCAGAGGTCATCAGTCTGGAGATGTGAGCGCTCCTGACAAAACAAATAAACACCGGATCCAAACTTTGCAGTGTGCCTATTTGTGCATGTCTGTGTGATTGCTTGGATGTCTCATGAGTTTTGTTCAAGAGGTCCTTAGGGAACTGACAATAGTCAGCACTATGTGCCCAGTCAGCCACTATGCTGGCTGACAACCGGTGACCCGGGCGATACTTCCAGGAAGCTTCAAATCAGAACCAAAAGAGACTAGACTAGACCGTCGGAAGGTCTGCCAGAAGGCCCATGACCATTGGGGCTTTGGTGCTGTGCACCTTGATTCACTGGAAGCTCGAGGCAGTCAAAATTCCTTGGTCGAGTGTTCGTGGGAACTCACACATTGGTCACATTGATTGGCAACCAGAACCGTTGCGGCTGCTTGGCAAGTGCAAGAATGGTTTCGTCCTGCTGTACACTGACACCTCGAGCTTATTTTATCCTGCTTTTGAACCGCACTTAGCAGGTGACCTATAGAATGCAGGCACATGTAAGGCTTAGGAGTTGTTCATGTCATTCATGAAAAGTGTGTGGCAACACCTGTTTCTGAGGGATTGCAAGTTCACGCAGTCTCCTCATTTCTGCACCGTTAGTGAAGTCGACTTTATGCAATTAAAGCATCTAACCTGGTCCAACGAAGCTGAGATGTGACAGGGGAAGCATCATGGGCCGCCTTGAGGTGCACCTGCAAACCAAAGTGAATAATGTCTGTGCTGCGTGTCAATTCTTACTTCACCCTACCGTTTCTCAGCCAAGGTCTACTGCTGTAGTGTAACGGTCTAATGCACTCCGGAAGGCCACTGGCTACTGTTCTTCTGAGTTTTCTTTAAGGTAATATTACTGTATATATATATATATCCTGCTTGTTCCCCTTTGTTTTTTGCAGCACAGGTTTCTGACCGACCTCCACAGCAATCCCTTCATTTTTCCATTCGAGCACTGCTATCCACGCGATAGTCCTGCAAGTTATGTGCGTTGCTGCAGTGCCCATTGGCGTCATCAGCTTCCAAATCGTGACTGCTGGGGAAGACCAATGCTACATGGGGCCCAGGCAAAATACCTTCTGGAGCTGCACAGTTTACAGCAGGTTGGCAAGGTTGGCAGCGACGGCCGCAATCCGAACAGTTCGCTGGGTGATGGAACAGCGGGTGCACATGCAGAAGCCACAAGGATCTTGAGAGAGGTAAGCAAGTCCTGTCCAAACGATGAATGTCAACAGCAGCATGCTCCCTATGACAATCTAGAGTTTCTGAAAAGGCTTGGCCTGGCATACATAGAAGCTCATCGAATCCTGAGTGCGAGGCCAGATCTAGGTCAACACTTTAGCCTTGAGCGTCCCAGCTCTTCGGAATATAAAAGATGGCGAAGTTGGCAGAACAAAAGCCTCACCAATCCTATGGACTGCTGCGGCTTCGACGTCATACAGGCAGCCTGGGTGACCCATGGGTGTTTGATATGATCAAATAATCAGATCAATGATAGACGAGAAATGATAGGATCCAGGATATTGTCTACAGTAATTGAAATGGTTTGCAATGGTTTGGTTCATCTTTCCACAGTTTGTGGTTCATCATGCCACGGCAAAGCTTCTACTGTAATGCGTCAATCCTCCTTCGCGGCTACCAGTTGTCATCGTGAATTCCTTTACAATACAGGAAAGCAAAACAGCAAAACTAGGATGAACTCGGGTTGGCCCGCATCGCCTTCCTAAACTCTGGGAACTCATGGGAACTCTCCAGGGTTTGCTAGATTTGATGGATTATGATGTATGATTTGTATATCGAACTTATATAATCTGATATAATACACTTTTATGCTATATTATATACAGTATATAATACAGTATATTTTATTGTACGCATGGTTTCTTCCATCCTTATGGTGGTTCTTTGCCCTCACAGGCCGATCATAACTACATTTTGCTGCATCCAATGCCCTTATCAGATGAGTACTATGAATGGAAGTGGCCCCCAGCTTTGACGGAGAAGAACCGGATTGGGCGAGACCTTTTTTCATGCCAAAGTGTGTTGGCAGAAATAGCGTTGCACGAGCAGGTTGTATTGTATATACAAGCAGGCGCGCCCGTATCCATGCTGCATGAGCGGAAAGCCTTGCCTCCCCGGACCCACAAAAGGTATTTATATTGGAGCAACATGTGTGCTCGCCACTATTCTGAATCTGATCGAATTCAATTCTGGGCACAAAGTCTGCTGAAGTTCCCAGGAAACCTCTTGGAAGCCGAACCTTTTGGAGAAAATGAGCTTTTTGTTGACATATTGCCGCCAAAAAGCTCAGTTTCCCAGCGACCAGCAGTCAAGCAGTTCGGCATCCTTATTAGCTGCACTCATGCCACTCGTGGCTTTTGTCGATTGCCAGTAGGGTTGTGGCAATGTTATGCAAGGAGGCATCAGCACAACACCGAAGTATGGTACCGTGAGCATTTTTGGGACTTCGACAGCGTGACCCGGCTGAAATCCTGCACAGATGCACACGAAACAGGCTTCGTGCGAAATCGAAATGGATCATCCACGACCGAGTTCTTGGAAGCGAAGCAGTTCAATTCTTTGCCCTATAGCAGCCTTTGCCTGATCCATTTTGATGCATTGCAAGATAAGTGGCGCAGTAAACGTATGGCAGCTGACGTGTTCGCCCGATATGAATGGCATTTGGTAATTGATGGTGGTGATGTCAGCATCGGTCCTGGGTGTTTGAATCAAAACTTGGAAAAAGTGATAGCGGCAGCCCCAAGAGATGCTGAGGTCATTGTGAAGGACCCCAGCGAAGGAGAAGACAGCAATGGAGGGGTGTTCCTGGTTCGCCGCTCTCCTTTGGGGAAACTGTTTCTCGATTTGACCTTGGATAAATTCAGCTGGCCTATGCAGCTTTCTGGCAGCGGCTGCTATTTTGATCAGCCAAGCATGAATGAAGCCCTGCTAGAGACTGTGGCATGGGAAATGGGTGCAGAATACAATTCTGAGTGCCTGCCGCATATGTTTCTGGAGCCAGTGGCTGATGGACACTTTATGTGCAACTACATGGCTCACCTTTTGTGTTTCAAGTCACACTTGCAACGTATGGCTGGCCCATTTGGATCTCGAAGTAGCCGAAAAGTTTTCTTCATGTCTCCTCACCGCATGGCAGACATCAACTTTCGGCCTTTTGGAAACATACCAGATAGCAGTCAGGCTGAGAACTCAGGCTTTGAGCCTAGCTGGTCTGTAGAATCCTTTGAATGGAGGCCATTTCTGTGGCATTGGGTAAACTACGAAGCCAAGCGTCAGGTGATGCTGGAGCACCTGGGGCTGAGTGCAGATTCTGAAATGACTTTGCCCCCATATGTCGTTCGTGACCAGCTTGAAAATGTTTCGGCCTGGCATCACTTTGCAAGACGAGAGGCACAGTGGTGTCAACGCCATTTGTCAAAGCATGCGGGACCCCAACAATGCACGTTGGTTTCGCCTTCAGAAGCTTGCAAGCACTTGAAGAATCGAGGACATGTTCGTTACTGCTGACTTATGGAGAAAGACCGGACTAAATTATTGTTGCATTTTGATGGGCTGAAAGGAACCATGATTGATTGATGGGAATGGCACTCCAGGTATTACTGTAATTGGCACATGTTTCGCTGTGGAGGAGATTCTGCGGATGCCAGAAAAGTATGGCACGATGGACGTTTGGGCAGATGAAATCAGGTGCACGTTGAGTTGTGAGTTTTTGGTGATGGACACAATGTGTCCATATGTGTCCTATTTCCTTTGTGACCTGACGAGGCAGCGGATAGAAAACCTGCGAGCTGCTGGACAAATGATCACACCATGCTCCTTGGCTACACCAACACCTTCGAATGAAGTTGAGAATGGGTCCTAGATGGTCCTACGCGATTCATCCAAAAGCCTTCCAAGTGACTTGCTTCGGTTCGTGCACAGAACTCGAATTGACTCGAACGACTATGATCTAGAGGCATGAGCTTTGCTGAGACTCAAGCCTGGGCCCAGGAGTGGAATGAAAGGGAGCATATCGGAGATATACCGGAGATATATAAAGGAACTAAGGTTGGAAAGCAAAACAATGCCGTCTAAACCAGCGAAAAACAAAGAAATCTCTAAAGATGCCTGAAGGATTGTAGAACGCTTCGGTCTTTAGAACCACCGTCGCCACCCATCACGTCAGGAGGCCTTGGCCGAACTCTCAGCTGAAGGTGAGAACCATCATCAGAAAGCAGAGGATGAGATGCGGGAGAAGCAGTGTCAGGACCGGCCAAAGCGGAGCACAACAATCACAACGCGAAGTTTTGTGTTTTGTTTTGTTTGCCCTCTAGACACCTTTCTTCATCCCTAGTTGTTTTGCATTGGGCCAATGTGAAGGGGGGGGATTCACTTGTAAGTCTGTATTCTCCCTCTCTACTTTTGATTTTGGCCATGCACTCTCCCACATGTTTGATCATTTTTGCACGTCAAGACACATCATGTGCTGTTCCGGAAATTGTCGCAGCGGGTGGGTTTATAGTTTGAGACTTTGCTGGAGGGTGTTTGGCTGGCGGTTGCCTATGAGGTTGGACGTGGGCATGTCATGGTATGAGCTACCGCCAAAACCAGCGATTACCAAAAATTTAGTAAAAAGCGCTCGCGCAAAATGTAAATCGGACTCCCGCCCATGCCACCGATCCAATTTGCATCATCGAGAAGTCAGTCTACCAGTTTAGTTCGCTACTTTGCTGCCCTATGTTGGGGAACTCCTTTGTGAAAGTGAGCTAAAGGCCGACAATTGCTCAACAGCAGAAGTGAAGTATTTTTGTTGACCGTGAGTGACGTTAACCACACCCGTTGTTGAAAGACTGGTCCACGATTTGAGAGAGGGCACACATCAAAAGGAAGACGAAGCATTTGTTCAAGTCAACATATTAAGAAAAGATAATTAACATAAGTGCTGGCAGAACTCCTCACATTCCATTTGCAGTTATGGACCGAGTAGGCCCAAACTGCAATACGTTGCAAAGGTGTGAATCGAGGCTGCAACGGACTGCTTGCAGGGTCTAGCGTCGCTTTCGGAACTTGCTCACGTGCTAGTCCTTTTGGCGCCTCCGCGGTCCGAGCCCGGTTTGATGAAACATTATGAAACGATTCCCAAGGAAGCTTCTAGTTGCTGGAAAGATTCTTGTTACTAAGAAGAATCAAAGACATACTAGAAAGATCTAGAAAGCTTTATTGTTTCTACAGGTGAAACGATTCCCAGTGAAACGATGTTCAAGGAAGCTTCTAGTAACAAGGGCATCGCTACTGTACTAGTAAGAGTGATAGGCCCGCCTCGCAAGCGATAACCACTTCAAGGCAGTGTGTGGGTACGACCAGCTATGTTGAAAGTGTGCCTAGGCCGCTAAAACGATAGGCCCGCTCAAAGCGACGACCTTGAATCATGTCCTCCAGGGCTTTCGGCAGACGATCATCTATCACAGAACAGAAACAAGGTGCTGACACTGTGAAAAAGACGGCCTTCTTTAAGGCACTGCCTATTGAACTCATGCCTAACTAGGACCGCGTAGGGATAGGCATCAAAAAAAGTTTGTCGGCGAGTCGGCATAACAATGACCATCAACAATTAGTAACCAAAAATATTTGGTTCTGGTCACGAGGTCGGTTTCTTAGGAGCTTTTGGACTGGAACTCCCGTGCGCGTCCATCGCAACAAAGGGCAGATTTAATTGGCCACTTCAGGACAAAGTGAGGATTGGTTCCACCTTTATAGTTTTGTGGGCACGACCTAAGGTAGCTTTTAGAGCAAGAAGGAGCCATTCCAACCTTGTACTCTTGTGTCAGCTGACCTCGAGGGTCGATGGGTCAAGTTTACAAGAGACCTTAGAACCAAACGAAAGTGTCCTTGCTCCTAGTAGCGATGCCCTTTGCTCCTAGTAGCTTCTTGTTCCTAGGGCCAGGAGCCCCTAGCGTCCTTGCTCCTAGTAGCGTGGCACTTGTTACTAGAAGCGATGCACTTGTTTCTAATAGCTTTTTGTTCCTAGTAGCGATGAACTATTCCGACTTCAACCGCCAGATTGCAAAATTGAAACCAACTCTATAACCCCGCTTGCGGGCCGGCTGTGTCGCTGGGCCTTAGGCAGCATTGGTGTCAGCGCCGGCCTCACCGGCCCTGTTTTGCATGCCTGGCCTATGTATGCGTATTAGATAGATATGGGGATCATCATGAGACACCTTCAATTTTCTCCTTCTCTTCCTCCTCATCATCATCATCATCGTCGTTATCCTCCTCATCATCATGGGCATCGTCGTCGGCAGACCCACATCACATCATCACTGCATTCATCATCGTAATTGAATGTAATTGATACATTTCCAAGATTTCTTTAGAGATCCTCTTAGTGCTGCGGTCCGTTCCTGTCACGCTGTCCTCACTCTTTTCAAAGCTAACTTGCGTGGGTACTCTGTGTCGTGGGGCAGGGCAGGCGCCTCGCCTTCCACCCCGACCCCCTCCCCCCGCACGACGAAATCTGCACATTCTATCAAAAATTGTAGGATCTAGAATCTAGAACAGACCTAGCAAATCCTTTTTGGCCCCGCCCCAGATTCAATGTTTACAAAAGACCTGACCATACACAGCCATTTGTGGGCCACGTGAGGGCCGAAGTTAAAGCATGCACCATCTCAGCCTTACACATCCGACCCGGCCATCAGAGCCTTTCAGGTCTCGCATACCGTTTTTGATCTTTTTGGGGGGCCTCACTGTCGGGGCAAAATTTGAACAAATCGCACCTTTTGTTGCAATGGCATTGTAAAATTAAGGGCAGTAATGAGATATTGCAGTCTCACGCACCCTTTTGATGGCTTTACTCTTTTGTGGGCCCGCCCTAAGGTGAAATGTCCAACAAACCTTACACCCAAAGCGCGGTACTGTAATATGCGGGAATTACCGGCAGTTCTGGAATATGGTCTTGATCCCTATCATGTTGATCCCTCACGCGCCCACCTAGCTCTTGCTTCGAGAATGAACTTTTGTCTGCCTAAGTTTGCGTGTCAGGCCTGCAGCCTTTCACTAGGTTGCTGACTCACAAACAAAGAATGAGAGGAGGACAAGTCGAAACTCATTAATTAGGGTCTGTGACACCTACAGTAGATCGTTTGTGCAGACCGAACAGCAGGCTTTCGCGCGGCATTCCATTATATAAAGCTGGTCAGGCACTTAACCTCCTGGACACCCCCTTTGCCGACTTGGCCTTCGGTCCTGGTCGGACTGAGCGGTCGCGCAATGTCAGATTTTTGCCATCAGCACGCTTTAAAATAGTTACAGTGCATTTAAACAAAGGAGCATGGTGTTTTCACAATTGTTCATTGATAAGAAACTTAACATACGGTTTATGCTCTGTCAAGAGTTCAGGTGGACCGCTCTTCATTTGTCATAGGAGGTGCTTGTCCACAAGCCAGTGACAGTTACGCTAGAGCTGGCGCACAACAGCTGCATTGACCAAAGCCAAAAACTATCTTTAAAAAAAAGAATTGTCACAATCCCACGTCGGGAAGTGCGAACCTCAGCAGGATGTCATTTACCGTGCCAATTATGTAAACAATTTTGAGGTGGTGTCACCCTCTACATTAATTAACAATTTTCAAAATAATGTCTGCACAAATTTATTGAACAAGGGTGTGGTAGGTGGGGAAAATTTATTGTCTAAAGTGTGGGTATGAAGGACCTCAAATATTTTTTTCATAGTCATAATATGTCATAATCATAAAGGAACCCCACATGCTAAAATAGTTCCCATGTAGATATTCCATGCAGATAGCTTCACTGAGGCCAAGGGCATCGAAGGACTAATGAAGTAGTTTTCAGAGTGTGATTCCGGATGATGAATCAGAAGCTCTTCAAGGCTTCAAGGATCTATGAAACAATTTATACGGAGATGGTCCGGCACAACTGTAATCAAGAAAGCAAGAAGAAAAGGAAGTGGACAGAGCCCCTGGGAATGGTTCAGCCATGACAAAGTTATTTTCAGTGGGTGGGGAGCGCGGTGGGGGCCAATAGCCCAGGAATTACCAAGTTTCCGAGGTGCAGCAGGAAATATGTGAAAATTGAATTCGCATGCCACTGAAACCAAACCGACTGGACGAGGGAACCGGATTGTTGGAAATGCAAAAATATGCAAAACCCAAGACGCCTCCACAGAAGTTTTACTATGTGGAGTGGATGTCGGAGGTCAGTCGAAAAACTCATTCTGAAGTGAACGGTGAGTTCTGAAAGATGGTGTTTGAGACTCTCCAAAATAATTGTGGCCTAGGTGGGCCCCCTACCTCAAATTTTACATATCTCATGGACCGTCGGTTGGTACGGTGTATAAGTAGATGTGTATAGGATGTCCACTGTCTCAGTGCTTAGCTCGAACAAGCCCGCAGCCAAACATGTTACAAAAATCAGACAATAGTGCACACGCTTCCTCAGACAGAATATGCGAAAAACAACCCTGCAATGATTAGCTCAAGGCATTTGTTTTGATCCTGCACATGACCCTTTTGGGGCGACTTCGATCTGCTCGGGACGCAGTTGATTTATTTGACGGAAGATCGCGATCGATCCATTCGATGCTGAAGTGCAAGCAAGAGTGCGTACAGCTGCTCACTTACAGGTTGACGCGTCGGGTTGCAATGTTTCCTAGGTTCAGCGAGAGGCTTTCACTGACCTTGCGCTGCATTCCCGCATTCAGGCCAGACATTCGAAAGACCTGTTTATGTCCTGTACCAATGTCTTCGGCATTTTGCGCAGATGTAGCATGATAATACTCATAGGTGCTGTCCCAAGCCCAGCGGAATGCTGCAGCTTGCCGACTTTGGCGGGCATTGAAGAAGCCTTGCTGGCGACAGTGGGAAAGGAGCGGAGAGCTGGGTTTCAAGGTGCAAAACTCGTAGTACAGACCTCTATGCATCACACTGGTGATGTTGATAATTTTATTTGACACTAGAACAAGTTGTATATACAGTAGTTCTAGTGAAGATACTTTCTTGACTTCTACATCGTCTATATGTGTTGCAACAAGCTCGCGTGTAGCCATCTAGATCTGCAACAATGATTTGCATGACTCCAATCCGCTGACTCTAGAGGACATTTGCATTGTGGCGCTGCCAGACTGAGAGCCAGGCCAGCAATCCGAACAACACTTGTTGTTCGATGGCCAATGAGTGCCAGTGGAATGGTTTTGTGATGTTTTGTGGCAGGACACCTCTCCTCGCACAAAGAAGATACGTTTGGCACTCGCATTGTCTAAGTTGGGTTTCTTAGCCGGCAAGATGTCCGAGTCCATCCGAGCCGGTCCGAGTGAGAATCCTTTAGTCCACAGAGTCTAAATCATCGATCTGATTGCTTAGTCGCATACCACATTGAGGTGTTCATTCATGTTCATTCAGATTGAGCATAATTAAGCATATCGTATCAGACAGAGATTTGTGGCACAATGACCAACAGTATGCGTTTAGGCAAGACAGAAAAATATTTATATATAGTAACGTGGCGATACACTACAAGCAGTTCCCGGGCAAGCCGGCGGCGGAAGTTTCCTATAAGAAGAAATTGACCTATAGGAGTGTCCATGTTCTCTCCAACATGCGCGTCCTCCAGTCAAACGCACGCGCTCCGGACTTGTGCCCCCTGCAGGATCAGCAGCTCACAACAGCGTACTGGGTTGTATCTTTGCCACGACAAGAGGGGTGTATGACGAGTGGTGTATGATGAGTGGTGTATTGACCAGCAGTTGAATGTCCTGTCCTGCATAAATGCAACCAAATACTATCAGTATGAACTGTGCCAAACCTGCACGCCGCGAGAGATGACTCAGCAGCGGGAGATGACTCAGCCGCGAGAGATGGCTATAGCGAGAGCTGACTCAGCAGCGAGAGATAAATGAGCAACGAGAGATGACTCAGTCGCGAGAGATGACTGACAGCAGCGAGAGCTGACTCAGCAGCGAGAGATGACTCCTCCGCGTACTACACTTGTACTACAAACTGGCCAGTTCTCAGCTTCCAGCTCCACAGGTTGTTCCGCGTGCTAAAGTTGTACTAGAAAGTCGCCAGTCAGTTCTCATCTTCCAGCTCCCCAGATGCTCCGCGTACTGCAGTTGTACTACACAGTCGCCAGTTCTCAGCTTCTAGCTGCACAGATTGCTCCGCGTACTAGAGTTGTACTACAAAGTCGCCAGTTCTCAGCTTCCAGCTCTACAGATTGCTCCGCGTACTAAAGTTGTACTTGAAAGTCGCCAGTTCTCAGCTTCCAGCTCTACAGATTGCTCCGCGTA